ACACACACACAAACAGACAAATAGACAAACACACAAACACCCACATATCAGGTTGTGTGGGTGAAGTGACACATTGGCAGTTTTATTCCATCACATTTTGGTGTCAATGCTCCCAATTAGGGATGGGCATGATTTATCGATTAATCGATAATTGATCATTAAGAATTTCGTCGATTACATTAATTTTAATCGACAAACCGAATGTAGGTTGCTGTGCGTAGTGTGACCAAACAGGTCCGTACATGTGTCTCTCTGCATCAGAAGGAGCGAGACACAAACAGTCAGTCAGTCTGCTGCGTACCGAAGCACAAATGCGTATTTAACGATGACTTCTACAAGAAAGTCCACGCTTTCCGTTGCGTTCGGGACAAGTGTGAGCCCATGTGCACAGTGAACAAAGCAGGAACATATGTTTCGGTGTCCAGTGGGAAAAAGTTTTACCAGGTGAGAGTCGCGCAATGTCGAAGACGAGTCCCCACCTCCCTCCCCCGTACGGTGTCCTGGTTTTGACAAACGCAAATCTGGTCACACTAACCTGTATTCACCTGAGTCATGTCTTTTAATCCGACAGAAGTTGACCGCATCAGCGACACAAGAGCTGTAGTTTTATCTTCGCTTAGTTTATGCAAATTAGCGATGCAGTTTTAAGTTTCATTTCTGTGAGAGTTGCGCAAAACTGAATTAAACACATTAATAATTAATAATGTCAAACGGATTGATGTGGCTCTAGAGTCGTTACGGTTTATATGTCGTAAAGTTGAATTTATGTATGCAGGTTAGTAGTGCAGATAGTAATAATAATGATGATAATTTTAATATAAAAACGTTAATGATTCGTTAATTCTTCCGACGATCGATTAAGAAAATTTCATCGAATGCCCATCCCTACTCCCAATGCTCAAATTTGGGAAATATTTCTGATTATTTAAAGACGGGACATTTTATGCACCCGAATAATGTCACTTTTATTAACCCTTCCAGACCGACGGTATTGTGTACGATACCGGCGGACAAGTTTTCTATAACAACCATAAGCGATAGAAACTTGCTTTTTTTCCTTGGAAAGTTGACAGTTGCTAATCTGATTCATCAGTCGGTTTCACTTCGTTGGAAACCGTCTGACCTCGCAGCATTAGGATTCGTTTGCTCGACAGTAGGCGGGTGCTTTTTGTCATTTAACCAATTGCTGCTATTTAGTCGTGACGTACGTAATGGGCCAAATCCTGTAGGAAGAAGGGCAATAACGTTTTTCCCCTTGATAAAATTCACCACGCATTCTCTTTGTTCCAACTTGAAATCGTCAATCTCGGGAATTGTTGCTAAAACAGAATGTCTGTCTTCGTCTACATCCATCTCGACCACTTTGCTTCGCCTTCGCTGATTGGCCAGGGTGCGATCTACAACTTCTGGGGTGCTTGCGAACTGTCTAGTGTTTTCTTATTCCTGACCTTGTCGCTGGAGAGAAATGAAATTGAGCCGAGGCATTAGGTGGCTCCAGCCCGGCTAGACAGTTGTGACTTTCCAAGCATATTTCCGGCTTTATCCTATGTCACATGAAAACGAGTGCCCAATAGGAACTTTGTTTTCCAAAAATGTATGAACTTTTTTTTTTTTGTTTTGAGGGCAATAAGGACATTTTTAGTTTACTTACAGACTTGATATGTTGCACTTTTGTAGGTAAGGCCCCAAATTAAATTTTTTTTATGTCCAAAAAGTAGTTTATACATGTTTACTGTGTGTTTTGTTTGAAAGAGTGTGAATTTTATTTGTATTTCTGGTCCTATAGCTTTTAAAACATCCACATGACACAACTACAGCGTGCAGATTGTGAAATAACAGGTTGTACTGAAAAAAGAATGTATAACACTTCATTAGGAGGTAAAAGGTTGATTTTTAATAGCAAAATTAAGAAAAATAAATCCAGGCGAGGAAAAATATACTAAAATTGCCCTTAGGAAGGGTTAAAGTTTTATATTTTTCTAATTTGCTGATCAGTATTTATAATTTGGATAAGTCAGCATTTCAGTTCTGTTTTAAAGTCTGTCACTCTGAGGAAAACATGAACATGACAAAAATAGGGGAGTTTTGTCGTTACGGTCATTGCATTCAGAGAGAAGCGGTGCAAGAGGAAGTTCAAATCTAAAACACGACCGGGCCAATCCTTTCAACGCACGTCTAAATAAACTCTGACATAACTGCACTGTAACTCCTCGTTTTGGTAATTAATTCGTTCCTCGCTGACCTTAAACCTCTCTCCCTCTCGCTGTGACTGTGGCCTACATAAACCCAGCCCCTCCCTGGTCCTGGTCCTGTCCTTGGTCCTGGTTCAGTTCTGGCTCAGGTCGCTGTGACGGCAGTTGCTGGAGTTATGGGGTCAGACCTGCTGCTGTCATGTGACACAAATACCCAGCATTCCCTGCGCCCCACAAGTGTTTATAAAGCGCCAGACGAGCATGTGGTGCTGAAGTGACCAGTGTGCTTCGAGGAGGGGGACAAATGACAAGTGTGGGGCCATTCTTGTGATTTAATTTACACCTTGAGGCCTCCTAATCCCCGAAAATATAAAAAAAAAAATTCTCATGGTCCAAAATTCCCAACAGACTCAATCTAGTAAATCCATAGGCATAAAATTCAATTCAATCGGCTAGATACTTTGCAGTGATGTCACGCTGGGGGTGTTTTACATGTATCTCTATGGTGAAATGTTCAATGTTATTCAATATCAATATGGAAGATAATTTGTTTCATCAGATTTAAAATTTTAAATGAATTTCTCACTTTGAATGTTTTAACTCTGAAAAAACATGTTATATTATGATGAATTATATGATTTTTTTTTTTTTATTCTGAATTTTAGTTGCTGAAATTTTAAGGGTTTGAATTTTAAATGTTGAATTTGAGGGCTTGAATAGATTTGTGCTCAATATTAAAAAGGATAATTTTTTTGTTTAAATTTTAGAGGGTAAAATTTGCGGTGAAAAAAATTCGCAGGAAAGATCCAAGATGCCAAGGCCGATCCAAAGTGATCCGATCTAACTTTGTATTTTGTGTTGTATTTTTGTATTTATTTTGGGGCAAGTAGAGATTTACATTCTTATACAATGGAACATCTAACTCAGTAACAAGCAGGAAATGGTGCAGTGAAGCGATCTGATTGTTCAGAATTATCCTCATCAAAACCTCATCTCTTTTATTTCTTACGTGTAAACTCCGCCCACAGATGAGAACGGCCAATAGGAAATAACCTGTCCTCACTCACTCATGATCAATTGCTTCTGCCTTAGCATTTTGGATCTTATGGCCTGTTTACACGAGAACACTTGCGGGTAAAAACAACAAAATCTTTTATCATAAGTGCCTTTCGTTTAGACGGTGACGGCGTTTTTGGGGTTATCACCCTTCAGAGCGGAAAAGTTGAATATGTTCCACCATAGTGTTTCTGTCTACACTGCCCAAGACACAAAACTCTGGTCAGATCTGCTCAGGTCACGTACACGTTTAAAGGTTGTATAGAGGATTTTTTTAAGGGAAAAGAAATACAGCGACAGTCCTTTTTCAAATGTTGTGCATGTGTGACACCACCTTCCTCCTCCACAGCTCCCTCAGTAGAAACACCTCCTCCCGCCTCCTGACTGTAGAAATCACGCTTGTTTACAGCCAGAATTACTGTTGAAGTTTCCTGTCTAGAAATAATTTAGCGACCGACGCGTCAGTTTTTAGACCCTTCGTCTGCTTCAGTCGCGCCATCGCTGGAAGGAATCTCCAAGAATCACCTCAGTTTGTCTTCGCTCCTTTTCCCCTTCTCTTCTTCTTTCAGTGACCTCAAAAATGGACTTTCTTTTGCGGCGAACTGGTCGTGGATTCTCGTCCGCCATCGCGACAAACTTTGTGCAAACTGCAAGGAAGCTACAGTTTGAAAAAGCCTCTAAGAACCGCTGCATAAACCACGTAATCCCCGCGCTCCGATGAGTCAGTTACACTAGAAACATAGGAAGTTTGATTGACAACCTAACAGCCAATAGAAAATGAGGTAGCCTTGTTTTCTATTGGCTGATGTATATCTGGCCTCACTACATCCACAGTTGATGGATTTTCATTCTCTTTTTTTTCGTCATCATAATTACAAGGCTGCTGCGTCTCTGTAATGGTGTTTTAAACTTTCACTGACAATTTGAAACAAAAAAAAATCTTCCATACAACCTTTAAGTCACATACATCACCACCTAGAGTCACCACCGAGCCGCCTGGCGTGCATACCCAATCGAATTCCACACACTTCTGCGTCACCATATGCACGCAGATTTCCTCCCGAAAACACGTCTAAACGCAGAATAAAAAGTGACCACATGACGCCACTTTTGTGTCTTCTGTTCAGACCATCATCATGTAAACGTAGCCTTTGTTGTGATTTTTTATATTTTTTTTTACAGTAAATTTTAACTTTTGAATTTGACAGCTTGAAAATATCTGTGCTTTTTTTGAATATTTAAACGGTGACATTTTTATTTTGAATTTGAAGTATATTGAAAAAGTATAGTTAAATTTTCAGCAACTAAATTCAGAATGAAAATAATTCAATCAGCGGTATTTAAAATTCTTAAAATATCTTCCTTACAGCAGTTTCTATGGTGACACAATGCACATATTAGCAAACGCACTGTCAAAAAGGTTTTAAGATAATCTGCACAGTGCATTTTCAGGAGCCTGTGATCAATACGAGCGTTCATAGTCCTGTTTAGGAGTTTGATTTTCACCAAAAAGATGAGCATGACTAACTGAAAAACTAATGCTGGCTTATTACTGTAATTTTATGTGAGAGACTTGTTTAACAGCACAGCTCTTCTCACTTGTCAGCTCCTTCTGATCACATTGTGTTAAAATAAAACTCAGATTATTGTCTAACCTGAGTATCACAGCTTCAGACAGAGCAGTGCCTACAATTATCAGCTGCAAAGTATCAATAAATAAGTGTCAATAATTAAATAAATAATGTCCTGTACCTTGATGAGATGTTTGTTGACCCATTTCGTGAACGTTTTCTTCTGCACCCGGTCCCGCTCATCTGCAAAAGACACACAGAAAATACACACGTTTAATACACATTTAAAGCAAGAATAATACAATTCAGAATTCAGTGAGAGGTATATTTTAAACAGACAATAATGTGCAATAAATCAAGACAACATTAGTCTGAACTGGGCCTGTCACAATAACAAATATTGTCAAAGTAAATACAGACGATAAATGAGCATTTTGAAAGTCACGTATGCCACAGAGCAGATTTAAACCACAAAAACTAATCAAAATCAACAATATGGTTAAAAAATCATGAGCAGAACGAAACACTTTAGGACTTTGCATCTGTAATGAGTTTTTAATTCAACTTCCACAACTCAAATCTCATCATACAGCCAAAAATTTCTCACTAGTGCAAAGACCATGTTCAAAAGTTTAGGGGTGTAAGAAAAAAAATCGATTCAGTAATATATCGCGATACTTCACTGCACAATTCTAAAATCGATTCAAAATGGATCCGAACAGATTTTTCAAATAATATTTTTCACAAAAATTCAATCATTACATTCACTGTTCTCACGATTTAAAAAAATAATTAATTATATTTCATACTATTGCGTTCTCTTGAAGGTGTAATTGACTGTAATTATTGCTAAAATCACAATATATCAGTCATTTAGGTTCAGTTTTAGTATCGGGATATATCATGATACATTAAATTGTGAAATCCATATCATGATATGTATTGTAATGTCACAAAGCAATGCACACCCCTACAAACGATAAATACTGATGCCAAAAATATCGTTTCAGCTTGCATATACTTAACGATTAGGGATGTGCAAAAATATCAAAATATCGTATCGTTTAATGTGATGATACAGTATCGATATCAGGGGGCTGCTGTATCGATATATCTCCAAGAGTATTTTTTTGGTATATTTTGTTAAATAATTTAGTTATAGAGCTACAGTTTTGTTGCTTTAGTTGAAGGAAACGCATTTATGTTTTGGTTTAAGAAAGACTTTTAGTATCACAACCATGATTTAGCCTTTGTTTTTTACTGAACCGTATTAAATCGTTTCGAAATATACCATATCAAATCGAAAGTGCACTGTTGTTATTGTGGCCTATGTATCGAGGTATTTATCGTATCGACAACTTCTTAACGATACCCAGCCCTATTAATGATAAGTTGATATACTAATTATAATCCCCTAGTTTGAGCTAAAGGAGTATGGGAGAAGAAGACGACCACTCCCTTTACAAACACATAAAATTAAACCATTGCACCGCATAAATTGACTTCCCGTTGTAACACAGACCCACCCCGTCCTGTTATTATTATTGTGATACAGTATTAAATTAAGCGAAGGTCTCCAAGGACAAAGCAATGAATCCAATAAAGTGGTGTCCACGTCATGACCCTTGGCTGAAACTTGGTCAAATCTCTACAGACGTGTTGTCAACAGGCCCTATCTTTATCAATGTTTGCTTTTGAGTTTTAAGCCTGTTTTGCAACATGTACTAAAATGGTCAGATAAGTGAACAACTAAAGCTACAAAACAGTGAATTACAATATTTAGGTGAAAAAAAAGAGGAGGTATTTTACTTCTATGCGGTACACGTTATATATTTAGATCATTGTGTTGCCTTTTACTGCTCTGAAAATGCAGAAAACAAAGCATGAACATGTTTTAGAAGTTTCATTTCCGTTCTGAGCATCAGGTTTGTCAAGTTTCTGTGTGCAGTTTTGTGTCATGTTTTGTTTTATTTATGGAGATTTGTCATGTGGGAGCATTTGTGATGTAGGATTGTGGGCGGCGCTTTACACAGAATCTCACAGCTAATCGTAAGGGCTCGAGAGAGATCACTAAATTATTCAAACACGCAAGGATGACATGTAAAACCTCTTCAGGCATGTTTTTGATGAGGACATAAGGTTATAACATGGAAGAAAGCAAAAATAAAATAAAAAACTGATACCCTCACATTAAAATATTGCATGATTATGGTACAAACTGTTCTTTAAAGATAGATTTTAATTGCCATTTTTAGCCATTGAAATGTTTTGGAGCTGGCTTTATAACTACAGTGTATGAGGGTCTTACAGACAAAGCAGCTCTCCAATAAAATGAATGGCCCTTCTATCCGTGTAGCATTTGTTCATGTATTTTTCAATATAAAACCAAAAATAAGAAAATGAAAAAACAAATACATTATTTGTCTCCAAAACCAAAATGAAAAAACGGATAAGGATGTTATGTGTTTAAATGAATAATGGAAAAAAAACAACAACAAAAACAGATAATGGCCATTTCCTGTTTCCGTGACTTAAACTGCAATGCCGGACTGCACCAAGTCTAAACCAGAAACTGAACCAGGACTGAACCAGGAACTGAACCAGGACTGAACCAGGAACTGAACCAGGACTCAGTGTCGGGATGGGCCCAGAGGTGCACCCGTGTAGATTGTTGGGTGATCAGGACTGAGACTGGTCCAGTCCAGGACTAGACCGGGACTGAGACCGGGACTGAGACCAGGACTGAGACCGGGACTGAGACCATGATTGAGATTGGGATTGAGACCAGGACTGAGACTGGGAAAAGACCAGGACTGAGACCAAGAAAAGACCAGGACTGAGACCGGGAAAAGACCAGGACTGAGACCAAAAAAAGACCAGGATTGAGACCAAGAAAAGACTTGGACTGAGACCGGAAAAAGAACAGGCAGGCGACCAGGACTGAGGCCAGAACTAAGGCCGGTTTAGTCCTAGTTTAGTCCTGGTTTAGACCTGGTTTAGTCTTGTTTTAGTATTTAGTATTTCTGGTTTTATTTTGAAAAACGAATGATACACAGATTCCCTTTAATAAACAAACAGCTCAATACGCAATGAAAAACTGAGCAGAGGCTTCAGTTTCTTGTTATAGGCGACATTTTGAGAACTTCTTACCATCCAAAAAATATAATATTCTGTTTTTATGGGTTTTGGTGAGTGTGTGTACCAGCTGTTTGCGTCACGGCTGAAGAGTCTAGAGGGTCAGAAATAACTCTACAATCTTATCTATAGACCCCCCCTCGCTCCAACTCCTCCAACACTAACAGACCATTATGGCATATTTCAAGGACATGATTAGGGCTGATGATAGACAGTTTAATATCTACTCTGTGCTATTCAAGTCTTCTATTTAAGTTTAGTTTAGTTTGACCCATGAATCTATGACACCTGTGGATCATGTTGTTATAATTTGGACAATTTCAATCGTAATAGTCATCTAAAACAACTTGATAAAAGAAAAAGTCTGCTGAGTTAGACTTAGAAAACTGTGGTGTCCAACGGGAGCTGACGTCGCTGTAAACGCATCACAACGGTGACAAAGAGTCAGCACCTCATGATGGACAGTTGCACAACACTCTAGCGAGTTAAGAAAATTAAACTGATGAACAAAGTAAATATAAAGTGACGGTGAAAATGAGAGTTGATCTACAATGTGGCGTCTTGAAAATAAGCGATAAAAGATTGCTTAAACATGCACTAATCACTCCAAAGCTCTGAAAAGTCAATTTTGCAGAATAGGTCTGCTTGTGAAGGTGCATTATGTAACTTTTTGGTTTGGGGTTACCTGCTTATTTCTATGGATATGTCATTGCTCTGCCTGGAATGTTCCACAGTATGACATTAAACAGCTCTACTTTACATTTATTCAATTACAGGTGGTTTTATAGCTCCAAAATACCTAGAAAAACAGACATTCTGACTGTGAGAGTGGTCGCCTTTCCACAGATCTGACCTGTAACTTGGTCTGTTTTGGTCTCCATGAAGATAGAAAGGTTTAATACCATACTGTGAAATATTCCAGGCAGAGCAATAATATATCCATAGAAACAAGCAGATGATGGACAACCAAGTCAAAAAGTTACATAGCGCATCTTTAAATGCCATTAAAGCCCCATCCTCGGCTTGAAATCAGCTACTGCAACTTCAGACGCGGTGCTCCACTACCTTGTTTTTACTGTCCACGTGACCTGGTCACGTGACGAGCGTTTCAGGAGGTTTCGTATTACTGTGTGGTTAGAGAAGGCTTTGATTGCGGACACAGAAACGACGTGTCTGGACGTAAATCGTCCGTGATTTCAGTGTAAACGTAACCTAAATGTCTCATAAGTTTTTAAAGCAAACCTATTCTGCAAAGTAGACTTTTCAGAGCATTGGAGTGATTTGTGCATGTTTCAACAATTTTATTGCTTATTTTCAAGATGCCACATTGTAGATTAACGCTCATTTTCACCGTCACTTTATACTTACTTTGTTCACCAATTTAATTTTCTTAACTTACTACCATGCTGTATATAATATCACCGTGCTGTATTAATATTAATGTAAGAATATTTCCATCTTCAAAGCATAGAAAAAGCCAGAAAAGTTACACAATGCACCTTTAACATTGTTTGAGCAGAAACGTGCTGCATAAATAAATGCAATTGACGGATCTAAGGTCACTAGACAAACCGGTATCTTTTATACTATGAGATCCAAATCAGCATTTCAATACTGACATGAACAACACTGCATCTTTACACAGCCCATTTTGCAAGTTTCAAAAGAGGAAATAGTTTGCTTAGTTCTGAATAAACATTGTGAGATGCCTGTTCAGCTTTAGGGATGATGTCACTGTAAGGCCTTGCGGTTCATGATTAGATAGACTATGTTTAGGCTTTGCATTACACTCAAGTGGCCTTTCCCTCCAGATTTAGTCTCCACCAATCAGAGCACAGCCTGCTTTGGGCGCTTCCTGCTTGGATTGTTTATTTGTCGCCATGGAGCTGACACATGTCCACCACCGTTATGTCCTTTTTCCTTCTCACAGTTTTCCAAATCTCTGCTGAATCTATCACATCACAGAGTGCAATTTTTGGTTTATAGAAGGCTGCTTTTGGTTGTAGAATCTGGCAACCCAAAGTGAAGAGCTTTATAATCGATAATCTGCATGAGAACCGACTCAAAAAAAGAGCGACAGAGGCTTAGTAAACCTCAAAACTGAAGTT